ATTTGCACATTTACGAATATTGAAATACAAAATCTGAAGTCTGCACGCAGTTGGCAATAAACATATCTCTGGAACGTTCAGTTTTTATAAGTTTCCTTAAACGCATTAGGAATGTCTGTGATAGCATAATAGGTTAAATTCTTAGAACTTAAGCTAGTATGTCCCAATAAGATGAGCTGCCATTGGCATCTATCTTTACATACATACTGTTTCTTTTAGAGTTCGTCGATATTTACAGAAGTGTATAGCAAATCGATAAAATATTCTTCTTCTACATATATACATTTAGATGTTCAATTAATTTATTTAATCAATATTGATAGTCCCCCAAAATTACAGAATCATTTCCACTGTGTAAATGCAATTAAATTGAGAATAATGAATATCAGCGTAATGACAAGCTGGGATTAATATCAACACCACAATGAATGTAGTGATAGGAAAATACATGGAGAGGGATCACAATCGGTTATAACAGCTCAAACTTTATTATATAAATAAGGTAGTGACATGCAGATTGATTTAGTTGGATTTCACGAGCAGATAACTATAATAGTTTATCATGTTTAATAGGTTACAAGAAAATACCGAAAAGATTCTTAAAATAAAATAAAGAGTGATCCTTTTTATTCTTAACTTTATATGAGATCAATAACGCTCAAGAAAGCAACAGATATGTTCGCAGGTCTTTAAGCCAGTGATCTACTATTAGTATTAGAAAATAGTAGAAAGTACTATTATTTTTTAATACTATTAGTATTAAACTATCTATCTAAAGCTATGTTTTTAAAATAAATACCAAGCCTTAGAAAGTACCTTAAAGTGTCTAACACAATGGAGACTGGTCGTTATTTGATATTTTGAAATTGATAGTTGAACGTGATTTCATACAATCTATTCAAACAGAACATACGTATGTGTATGCGGCTTTATGCTTTCAGAGCTTTACGAATCTAAAAATTTTGTAAGCGTTTATGATTTGGGTCTTTTATCAATGGAAAGAGATATGGTAATAAATATTAACGATATGATTAAGAGGTTTGTAAGTCTGACTACTATTTGTGGTTAAGGTTTTACATCCTGCCCTTCAATTATAGCTTTTATGTTGTTGAACTCCTCTAGAAAGAACACTATGGTAGAAATCCGAAATGATGACAGCATGAGTTTCTCACAATGGATGCTCACAATAAATATATAATATTATGCAAAATATTTTTCATTAAATGCTAATATGAATTTTTGGTCGTTTTAAAATGTATTCAAATTGATTTCTTTGTAATAGTATGCCTCTTAATAAAAATATTTTTATAAAATTTAAAGAGAAAATCCACTGTATTTCATTTCAATAATTGATTTAATAATTATTGTGTATGTGTCGTATAAAACCTGTATGTATATGTATATTTCTATCTCCATTTTACAATTTTTCAAAAATAATTGATTATAAAACATGCTTTCTTAATTCATAACTTTTATTACTCATCTCCTATGGTATTTCCTATACAATAATACAATATATATATGCATATATGTGTACGCAGAATTCCAGGGCAAAATTCTGCTTAAACCAAAAATAAAATATTTTTCCACTTCTTAAAAAAGATGCCCACTTGTTAATATAAATATTGACAAAGTACTAATTGATGTAAGTTCCTACTTCTTAATATCGCAAACTTAAACTAATCTGTAATGATAAGCATAAATAATCAAAAAAAAAATGATTTCGAGGATGTGATACACAGGTTAGTTAATTGGAATTACTTTATCGTGAGGATCGACGGTTGGGAAGCCACGCTCTAACAACATACAGATATCTATGACATGCAATTACTATTTATATTTAATATAAGTATTGCAGGAAGCCCAAGGAAACTATATTCCTGTTCTTTTCAGAAAAATTTAACGTATCTTGTGTACAACTACAAACAATTATCATTTGATTGGAATATTACAATTTGTTTGTCGTATTAAAATGAATGGTACTCCAACATGACAGGAAAAGTTTATAATCGGAATATTAACAAAAAATGTTTATTTTGCTATTCTAATTATAAATAATAGGTGTGTTTTTATAGAAGTAATCCTTTTGTTTTTATTTACATAAACGTAATGTTACACAATCTTATTTCCAGCGAACCAAAAACTCCTGAAAGGTTTTTATAAAGGTTGTTTCTTTACCTTTTTGACTATTTTCATGTATGATTTCTTATTTAAGACCCTACAACGAATGTTTTTTTATTTGTTCCATTAGAATGTACCATAATATGTCATAAATGGAATCATAAAAATGTATTCAGAGTGATGCCATCTAAAATTCATTCTCAATCTTTTTTGATTTAATCAAAAATCAATTTAATCAAAAACCATTTTATTTACAGATATATTTACATCGAATTAGTCTTTTCAAAAGCAAAGCACCGCAAATTTTTAGATATCTGTATGTTTCTGAAGTTTAGATAAAATATTCTTAAAATGGAATAATATGGATTATTTTTTAAAAACGTATATTTTTTAGTCGCTTTTAAGCTCTAAGTAATGTTCAACTCATGTTTAAGTAGCAGTAATAGGTTATATTGTAAACGACTCTTAATGTGCATCTTATAACATAAAAAAAAATATATTGACTATTTACCCTGTGTTTATAAGTAATATTTACAATTTAATCACTAATATAAAAATAATTTTAAAATATTTGAAGAATAAAATGTTCTTAAAAACTGAATAGAACTCAAGATATACACACATATATATATTTAACATTAATTGTAGAAAAGTATCCGATAGATACTGAAATAATAATAACACAGTACGGTCATAAGAGTAAAATATTATTGTATAGATTAATAAATGATTTCTATATCTAAAAATGACATGTTATGTTTGGCATATGATATTTCTGTAAAAAGAATATTTGTGATGTTTAAAACAAATAAATAAACATGTATGGATTCTTTCGTGTTGTATTTATAATAATACATAATCAGAAATGCTATATTTCACGTTTCATGTATATTATTTGTGTTTTCATTTTGTATAAAATATATTGCTAAGAATACAAGTATTTTATTTTACTTTTGTGCTTTGAAAGCACAAAATGGCAACTTAGATCGAGATTACATATAATTTTACATATCATAACATAAAGTAAATAAAATTTTAAAAATGCTAAAACTTAAATTTTTTTATAAACAATATAAGAAGGACTAAAATTGCTTAAAACTATAAACATTTTTACACTAACATTAATTTAAAATTGTGCAAATTTACAAACATTTACGAGTATGAATAAACTATATACAAAATAAGCTTTATAACAAACGTCATAAATAAATTTAACATTATAACCAAACGAATGCGTACATCTGATGTATATTTATAAATTTATCCTATTATTTTAATATGTGGACAAATTAAAAAAAAAAGGGTTGGAATTTGTGACGCATTCTGTTCACATTTACTCACACTAGCATACAGGATATTTTCGAGTGTGCATTTATAAAAATTTAACTTCGCTTAGAAAATTGCAACATTTACAAAAGATCAGTTTTATTTAATTTATCTAGAAAATATAATTATTGTTACTTTTCAGTTTCAGTTAAGTTTTTATCTAAACTTCCTTATAAACTCGTATAGATATATATATATACATATATCATATTGTGTATAAAATATATAACAAAACATAGAAAATTGTAAAACATCGGCTACTTAAAATACATACATATTCATAACATATGTGTTTCCTCCTTTTGTGTGTGTGTTAACTTATTACTTGGAATAAAAATTGGTAATTTATTGTTTGTTCCTTTACGGTTTGCTTAGTCATAAGCATATGGCATTCTTTTTTTTTAATATCTGTGTTCTTTATGCTCTAATATTTATACTCTAGTAAGTATCAATTTTTACATTACATATTATATTTGCTTAAGCTTATATAATTATTATATAATTATTTTAATTAACTTTTAATTAACATTAATATTTGACTTCGCATACTATTGCATGTTATGTGTACATGGTTAATAGGTGTTTATGTATTTGTGTATTTATGGCCGCTTGACCTAATTTATTTATAGAGTCAATTGGTGTAACGCTAGCTACCAACTAATTCTATCTGACGGTATTTTTTACGTAAGTTGGAAACTGGATCTCGATACAAAACTGGATCTAATCGCAAATTTGACCGAATCAATGGCATGTAACTGCAAGAATATTAATTGATTGATTACTTTCAACGACTAATTGCAAAAAATATAACATTTCAAAATTTATCTTTAAATTATATATATTGAATATATTGACATATTTGTCCGTTAACGGTTATCAACTTACCCGAAAACTGCCGCAAAGGTATTTAAACAACTTTGCCTTTGTATAAAATGGTCGGGATCATTCCATGGTGAATGCCCTGTTTCTCGATCTTTGTACCCTTTGCGTTGCGTTACTTTGATCGGCGGTTTTCTTGTTACGTGAGATACCAGCAAATTCATCAATATATCTTCACAATTTGAAGATTGCTGTACAGTCTTTAAAAGTAGTAACGACAACCAGTTGGTGTACAAATAGTTGTAATAGCGATGATAAAAAGCTGCACCTGTTAGCACAATCGAATAGTAGTTAGTCCACTTTGATGTATAACCCCAAGCATTCTATAACAAAACACCAAAAAAAAAATATTATGTATATGGTAAAACGTAGTTTAAATTGAAAAAAAATTGAAATTATAAAACAATTTTATACCTTTGCATCATCCCAAAAATGTGCTCGAGCAGGATAGCCAACAATTCGATCAGGGAAATCACGCCATACAGTATATGCGAAATCCAGTTCGTCTGTGTTGAGTATTGCATCTTCATCTAATGAAAGTACAGCATCTGTTTGAATTTCAGGATATGGATAAAAGCGTTCTGATATGCTAGGTCGTTCTTCAGTCGTTTCAGCAGTATATGCTGTATTGTGTGGCTCAGCCTGATCTTTTTCATTGCCTAGTTTATTTACAAAATTAGCAAAGGAACCGGCTTGGTTAGCATTATGCTGTTTTATTATCTGAATAGAGCCACTTATCGATATTACATGGAATGGTATGTGATATGTTGTTGGCCAACGTTTTTTTAAAGGAATTGGACGATCAGCAGCCCATAAAATAATTATCTATAAATGAAACCAATTCAATATTAGATTCTAAGCGTGAATTTAAAAAAAATTTTCTTTACCTTATCTACAAATTGACTTTTAGCAATTGTTCTGACTAGTTTATAAAGAGCAGAATTTGTAGAAAGTGGGGCACCTATTTGCACATAGATAACTGCTGTATAGTTGTGACGTGGTTCCATATACAATGAATCCAACTGAAACGGCAAATATCTAAAAAAAGGAATAGTTGAGAAAAAACTAGTAAAAACTTAAAACGAAAAAATACAACCTTGAACTATCTGCAAATGTAGGAAGAGTAAGTAAAGCACCAGGAGATGTATTCCATATAAATGTACTCCGAACTGGATAATCAGGCAAGCGTTCACGAATTATCTAAAAATAAAAATGATGTCAAGATATATGTAATATTTCAGTATATAAGAATAAAAGTTTGGTTTATAATTTATAAAAAAAATAACATATAATGTTTAATATATGTAATGTTCAAATATACACAGTTACTTTCATACTTGATATTATTCTTTTTTATAATAACTTCACAAAATCTAAATGGAACATTAGCTATTTAATTAGTTGTTTAAGAATAATTCAAGACAATGCAATTGCCGAACGAGTATAATATATGTAGATATTCTCAGATGTCTGAGAATTATCAAGCTGATTACTAGGGTTAACATTGTGTACGCCTTATTTACACCTCACCCGGCTCCACGACCTCCCCCTGACGTCTCTATTCCTAAAACCGTCGCCCCCGCCCCCTCATCTGCTCTAACCCCACCCCCTTCTTCATAACCCAATTTCCCTAATGTATGCCCTTGCTTTCTGGCTTAGATAAATCTAGTCTATTTTTTTCTCCTCTCGTCCCTTATTATTGGAATAAAGTTTTCACAATGCTGTGGAAAGCTTCTCCATTCATTCTTAAGAGGTGGTTTAGTAAGTTAAGTCTTTCAAAAAATGGACTCTTGAAAAGTTAATCCAATATTGACAAAATGCTTAACGCATAACCTAATCATATATTTACAATTAATATCATTTATTATATAGCACAGTTTGCCAGTTACTTGGAATATATGGGCAGTTTGACAAAAAACATTTTATGGCAACAATAATGATACTAACAAATTTGGTAACGTTTTGTAAACAATTTTGAAATGAAGTTAATAAAATGTAAGTTCTGGATTTCAACGCAACATAAATAAAGTTTACAACCCTAAAATCAATACATATATTTAATGAAAAAATTGTTGGTTGCTATAGAGATCAAGGAAAGAAATACTTTTATATCGTTTTGGAGTGCACATGAGGCAATATATATATATATATATATATAGCATAGGCTCATAATAAATTGGATATTGGCACAAATAATAGAACTACTGTTATTCTTATTTCAGTTGTTGTTGTTCTAATTTATAAGTACGTGTGCGCTCAAGTGTGAATGTGAGAAAATATATTTTATATTTATTATTTTTAATTTAAATATATCTATGAAGATATAATGATAATGTTAAGATAATGTTAAATTTTTTGGGACTCGAAGTATGAAAACTATATAAAATAAGAAAAAAATAAAACAAATTACGTAAAATATTAAAATTAAAATAGTTAAACATTTAAAAAACAAAAAAAAATCAAGTTAAATAAAGTAATTTCTGCAAATATTCAACAAAGTAGTAGTTAATTAGTTTCATTGTAAACTTCCGTGAAGAACTTTAAATGCGGAGTTAAATTATTTAAATGTTGGAGTTCATTCATTTGATTGCTGCGGTTAAATGCGCAAAGTTACTTTTACGTACTAGATTAAACGTCCTCGTATAATTGTGGATAGATACATTTACAACTATAATTCTTGCAAGATAATTTATTGCGGGCAGCTACTTTCGAGCAAGAGCACATGAATTTTTCGCTGTGGATTTTATCAAGTACTTCTATTGTTTTCATTTGTTACGCAACGGGATGGGTATCGTTGTAATCTAACCGGAGTCATTGTGCTGCTACTGCTGGAAGCACAGTGCACACGACATGGTGAACTAGTTAATTATGAACATAATTTCTTTTTGTTCAGAATGTCAGAAAACTAGGTAAAATATAATTGGGGCAGTAAAATGAAGCGAAGTAAATAAAATGTTAGTTCCGGGTTGAAACGCCACATGAATAAGGTATATTACACCTAAACAATTATTTCATCCTTATACATAAGAATATGTTATAGTATTCTTTCCAGTCTCTTTGTGACCTTTTATAAGGTAATTTTATATAAATGCAAATATAATTAAACACTCAAAGAATCCATCTATATAGACACATACAAATTTAACTAAAAAATTTCATTTCATCAACTCGTGTCAAAAACAACCTTATCTATATAGTTAAATAACTCTCGTTAACAATTGACGGAGTTTGATCTAGGCACTGAAAGTTTTATTAACACATCACATAGTAAGTAATAAGACTAATGTTAAAAATCTAACTTATATTTTTTTTTATCAATATAGATTTCAACAGCAATACAAACATTCTAATAGTTTCCATATAGAACTCCTTCTAAAAAGACTTAGTATTCATTAATGCTTTAAAGTTCCAGTACTTGTATACTTAAAATGCTTGATCCGAATGTTCGAAAATGTAAATGTTTTATGATCTGTTTTATGATTCCTTCTATTTTCTTTGGATATAATAATACTTATAATGCGTATAACAATAAAGGTTCGAATACCATATGGTCTTTGAACAGTTCCGAGTACCTGGAGCACAAGCATATCTGAACATCAAAATGCTTCAAGCTTCGAATAACTCGAATAATATTTTAAACTCTTGTGTTCAATAATTCTAATAATAATTCTATGCGTTTGGTGAAAAAAAAATCAATAGATAGGTCACTTTAGAAGCTGATTGCAGGAAGAGTGCACGAGATGGATAAAAAATTCTTTAGCATAAAATTTTAGTAAGATAATGAGGTACTGCTATATAAAAAATAAATTAAAATAATTTTTAAAAATTATTTAAATAATTAAAATGTTCGAAAATTATCTTAATAATTTGTGTTTTTTTTATTGTTCTGTGGTCGATGGAATGTTTTAATACCAAAATCATCAAACAATATTTTTTTAAATCTTAAAGATTGTTCAATTTTAAAGTGATTGCATCCCTAAAAGTATGCACGATATTTAAATAATTGTTATTGTTGATTACAATTTCTGGATACACAAGTTCAAAGGACACATAAACTCTATCATAATTTAAATGCAAGAGATTAGTATAGACACCCTATATATAATTTTTATTGATCACTTAGAAAAATAAATCTAACAAATTAGTCTTGAGATAATGTAAGTAAACTAGGTAAAGTATGTAAAGTATAAAATCACAATGAAAGGACACAATGGCTGAAATCATGATTTCATAATTGTGTGTGTAAGGGCTTTAATTTTGGTTCGATCAAAACAAAAAAGAGATAGTGAAAATATAAGCGTGTAAGGACTACTTATTGCAGAAAAAGGCACTTTTTAGCTGCATTTGTACTCCTTATTTCTGCTACTGGGCAATAATGATGACCCATATATAATGGAAAATATTTCAAGTATGTATGTTTTTATTGCAGTGTGAAAGTTTTTCAAAATTCTGTGGTATACAACGAAGGTTTGAAAACATTTTAGATATATTGATGATAATTGGAGAAATGTTCAACTCAGGAATATATAATAGAAAAGCCGAAATAAAGTCCAATAAAATTATTTTACTGTTAGTGAAGGACCGCTGCAATTCGTGAATTTTACTATGTTATCTTACAAGTTACAAATTGTATTTTCTTTTAATAAAAAGTGAAACACAGCCGATTCGTTTGATTCTTCTTTATTGAATAATTATGATGAGGATATTAACTTATATCTAAACCTAAAGATCTAAGCATCACTTCCATCTTCGCTTCTAAACATTACCATAAAAGGCAATGTTTCACAAAAGATATATTAATGCTGGACTTGCAGTTTGCAGGCGTCATTTTCAGCCTTTGTTCTACTGAGCTTATGTTTACAATAAAATTATATATTTACGTTAAATAAATAAGAAATCTGGAAGTGTGATGCACTACATTATTTATTTAAGGTATATTAGTTAGGGGTAAGACTATGTCACTTACATATGTACATATGTATATAAAGTGTAATAATAATATGTTCAAGCTAAAAATTTTAGTGAAATGTCAATTATTGTTATAAAGCAATCGAATTGTTGTTGTAGTTCAATCCAAATTGTTGATTTAGTGTATACAAGTTAAGACTAAACAACAGTGTTGTTTTACATGAAATTTCCCAATTTTATAAGCTTGACTTTGACTTTAAATTTCGCAAAATTGTGCTACTCTATTTTTTTGTTCTTTATTGCTAATGATATTTAAAATAATTCTCAATTAGAAATATTTAAATGCAAATAGGTACCGTTTCTAGATTTTTTTAAAAATAAAGTTTTTGAAAAAATCAATATTAGTCAATTTTTTTTCCATATGATTTGCAAAATCAGAGCTCAGAGATTTAATTTTTATACACCAACCCAAAAGCTTTTCAAATTTCTATAAACATTATGCATTTGTTCCTTTTTTAAAAAAGAATAAATTTTTCAATATTTATACATACATACATATATAATTAACCCATGTTTTCATAATAACATTTCCAGCTGATTGCTCATCATGTATTAAAAAAAGCAAGAGTTGTCAAAATTAAAACCCGAAACGATAATGTAAACGTTTTGACGTAAACGTTTGGGAAGCAATTTTAGCAAAGTTCGTTCACTAAAGTTCATAATGTAAACATGTTAATAAACCAAATGCAAATAACGCCGTATAATAGATGGAAAATTATTAAGCTAAAAGGTTTAAATTTATTAAAAATGAAAAATATAAACTTTACAAAAGTGTCTTGTGAACCTATTAAAAACATATAATTAATATTTATACAATAGAATAACACTAAAATCAAATGCGAAATTTTTATATTCAATGTTCTTTAAATTTTCAAAAAAAAAAAAAAAATTGTGCAAAACAAACGAATATTTCAGTACAGACTAAACACCCATAATACCGAGGCATGACTGTAAGAAATATAAAAATGCTTTGATACTTTAATATTTTTGGGTGACTTTATTTAATGAGATGTGTTGATGTCATTATTATTAATAACACAATTTATCCACAACATCAAGGCAAGACTGTAAAAACTAACACAAATGCTTAGCACCATTTTATGTATTTTTGGATAACTATTTAATGACGTATATGATGTCATTATTATTTATAATATGTTAAGCTGTCCACTCTACTCGTTTATATGTATGCATAATTATTTTAAGTGATTTATTGATTTTATTAATAACCTGAGCCAAAATACAATTTAATTTTTTTTTTGAGTTATGTTTACTTGAAAAAAAAAAACAACAAAACTTTTTTGTTTTGACCTTTCTATGAACGCAAACATGAACAAACAAGATTATAAAAGAAAAAATGCATGTGTGACGTCATAACATTGATAGTGAGTAATAGTTTTCAGTTTTCTAACTCTTTCACTTTGTGTTCTCTTTCTTTAAAGAAATGCCATGTTTTGCACGGCTAGAACATTATTCGCTAGAGGGAAAGAGGAAATTAATTGATAATTAAAAATTGTAATTTGTTATTTGTTATTAAAAACAGACGGTTTGAGAGTGTTGTAAAGAAGAAGCGGTGACTTTCTTGTAAGAAAAATAATATAAAATTATATGTACAATAGAGTATGTAAATTAGAGTATGTACGTGAAATTTATAATATAAGTTAATACCTTTGTATATATGTATGTAAATACATATTTTTTTATGATTCAAAGCGAGTGGTGTTGTTTACATTGTTCAGATTTTTTTTTTGTTTAGAACTTCATTAAAATAGAATTTAAACGCAAAAGAAAAAAAATTGTTTCTTTTACTTTATTTTATTTATTGCATGTGTCAGAAAATATTCTATCAAAAGCGTAGCAAATAAATAAGCCCAAAAGGCAGAGAAACAGAGAAGCAGAGAAATATTGGAAACAGAACATGTGTTAGTGCGTTTATGTGAGACTGAGAGCGAGTATTTACTTGAATAGCGATGATTTCATTGCCGTTCAGTTGTTAAAGCAACCTCGAAGTAAGTGGACGTGTTTGAAGTAAACTCTAAAAATCAAGTGAATTACAAAGTACATCGAGAAAGATTCATTTTTGTTAATAAAAGTACTTAATTCGATAAGTTAATAACAAAATGTCGCAAAAACGTGTAACTGTTAATACGCGCGTCTCGCGCACATCTACCCCAATTGGCGGGGCCTCTCGTTTGGGTGCCACGAGCCCTACTAGTCCTACACGTACAAGTCGTATGCAGGAGAAGCAGGAGCTGCAACAGTTAAACGACCGTTTGGCTTGCTACATTGAACGTATGCGCAATCTGGAAAGTGAGAATTCTCGCCTATGCCGTGAATTGCAAGTGGCTCAAGATACGGTCAATCGTGAATCAAGTAACATCAAAGAAATGTACGAAAAGGAAATATCGGCGGCGCGCAAGCTTTTGGATGAAACCGCTAAAGAAAAGGCCAAACTTGAAATAGACATCAAACGCCTCTGGGAAGAAAACGATGATCTTAAGCAAAGGTAATTAATTGCAAAGCAAATTAAGCAAAAAAAAAAAAGAAAAACAACAACAACTCCATACGTGTCGTGTGTATTAGAGTTAGAGAATTTGTACACAAAATTCCGCATTTGCGTTTATAGCGTTTTTGTTGTAATGAATTTTTTTAGCTCTCTCCCTCGTTCAGGTTCAACATAAAAATGATGTCATTTGGCGCACGCAAATCGTTTACGACTCTTATTCGTGCGTTTTACGAAGGCATTTTCTTTTCTTTTTTTTCGTTATCACTTAGCACATGTATATTTGTTTTTGTTTACATTGAATATGGCTACTAATTTGAATGAAAAATGCCAACAACAAATTATGAAATGGAATTACTTAAGAAAAACAACAAAAAAAAGATGAGAAAATACATTTAAGCAACACAATGATTTTCCAATAAGCTAAATGCTTATGCTTTTAGCTTTTTGATGAATAAATTATGTTTTCAAATTAGTCAATAAAAATCCATTTCAAGGTTTGTAAGTTCCCTCGAAAAAAAAAAACTAAATGACATCATAAAACATTAAAACAGTATTCGAAACAAACATGTTTAGTGATGATGTCAACGTCTTAATAAAAAAAAAAAATCTTAAATTGATTTTTGGTTTTTGGTATCCACAACAAACTTAAACTTACTGGATCAAAACATTTCAGGTTTTCAGGTTTTGTGATATGAATTCTCAAACACATTAGGAAAGTGCGTGTCAAAATATTTTCAAAAATAAAAGAAAAGTCGCGCACATTTTTGTTTGAAACCTTGAGTAGCTATTTTTAATACTTAGTCGAATACACAACACACATATACCAACGGTCGGTCGTTCGGTCCAATTTGAACTTCTTCCTCAATTGATTTTCAAATAAAATTTCTTATTGGAGAAAGCATTTCTTCCCAAATTACTTCTCAAATAAGAAGTAGTTCAGCCGTAAAACTTAATATTGTAATATTGTAATTCTATATTTCTATAGATTTTTTAATCATATAAACTATTTCTCTATATACAATTTAAGTGTGTATATGGCAAATAATATATATAAATTATTTATATACGATTAGCTAGCCACGTTTTCAATCATACGTATTGAGTTTTATTCAGTTTTACTCGCTTTTGTTATTATTACCAAAACAAACTGGTTTTATGCTTAAAGTCAAGCGAAAATAGACGAAAACTTTTATAAAATAAAAAAGTTTTGGAGATTTAAAATATTTATTCAAAATTCTTATTGCTGATGTCATTTTTGCCTTTGCTTTTCTTTTTTTTTTTTTGTTCTCATATTTATGCCGCTAATTATGCTTAAGATTTTATTATATATTTATATTGGCTCCCTAATTATGATTTAATTCTATTTAACAGATTAGATAAAAAGACCAAAGAATATCAAATTGCTGAGAATAGCTCTCGTGTTTATGAATCTCGTTACAATGAAGTCAATGGAAAATATAATCAAGCTATACTGGATCGCAAGAAGGCTGAGGATCAGGCAAAAGATTTGGGCGCCGAAAATGATCGTCTGCGTAAACAATTGGATGACTTGCGCAAACAATTGGAAGCAGAAACTTTGGCTCGTGTTGATCTTGAAAACCAAAATCAAAGTTTGCGTGAAGAATTAACTTTCAAAGATCAGGTACACACCAAAGAACTATCCGAAACCCGTTCCAGACGTCAAATCGAAATTACCGAACTAGATGGTCGTTTAACGAAACAATATGAAGCAAAATTGCAAGAGTCACTACAGGAACTTCGTGATCAGTATGAATCCCAAATGCGCGCCAATAGAGAAGAAATAGAATTGCTCTATGACAATGAAATTAAGAATCTAAAGGCTGCTGCAAATCGCGCCGCAAATACTTCAGCTAATGCAACAGAAGAAATCCGTATTACGCGCACTAAAATTGATCAGTTACAAGCCAAGATAAATGATTTGGAAAATAATAACTCTGCACTAAATGTAAGATTTGTTATTGTTTATACATTATTATCTTTCTATTATTTTAACTATTAATATTTATATTTTAGACTCGTATACGTGAATTGGAGAACTTGCTAGATTCTGAACGCGCACGTCACAATCAATACGTGGCCTCATTAGAAGCCGATTTGAATCGTATGCGAGAAGAGATGGCACTACAATTGCAAGAGTATCAAGATTTAATGGATATCAAAGTGTCCTTGGATTTAGAAATTGCGGCATATGACAAATTGTTATGTGGTGAAGAAAGTCGCCTTAACATTCCATCTCCAAGTCGTAACAATTCTGATGCTGCACAAGCAAATGGATCATCTCATTTACACGTTTCAAATCGGTCTGCATATCGTTCAGGTCGTGTTACACCAAGTGGGCGCCGATCTGCTACGCCAGGAGCTGGTGGCAGTGCTATTAAACGTCGTCGTACAGTTATTGATGAATCCGAGGATCGGAATTTATCAGAATTCTCTGTAAATTCAGCAGCTAAGGGTGATTTACAAATACAAGAGGCAGACGCAAACGGACGCTTTATTAAATTATTCAATAAAAGCACTGAGGAAGTTCATTTAACTGGTTGGCAATTAACACGTATTGCCGGAGATGAAGAACTTGCTTTCAAGTTTTCTCGTGGTGCTAAGATCGGAGGTGGTGACAGTGTCACAATATGGTCAGTTGATGCAGGTGTTGCTCATGAACCACCACATAATTTGGTTATGAAAAAGAAGTGGCCTGTAGCTGACTCCATGCGAAGTGTATTGGCGAATGCCGACAAAGAGGTGAGAGTTTTGTCGATTTACAACACTTGTAGTATTTGTAACATCTGCCGACAGTGTCAACATTTAGAATTTATACTTGACCAGTAATTTTAAAGTGTTGTTAAGAATTTTCCATTATATATATTGTAATTTATTTATTTTTAGGATGTTGCCAGCTACGACCGTATCCGTACAAACGTTTCCAGTCACGCTTCCCGTCACCGAACCACAGGCAGTGGATTTACCCTCGGTTCTGGTGCAGGATCTACAGGCATGAGAAGCCTTTTCTCACTACTATTCTAAACTTCGGCAATAACTGTACTACTACTACAATGGATGAATTAATTTTAATTTCTATTATAAGTTAAGATGATGCATTAAACATATCCTTAAAAATGTTACTATTATTTTCTGAATTGTAAAATATCACCCAAAATTAATTCTAAATAAGAACTAAAATCAATGTGTTCATTAAAAAAATATATATATAGATAATGTATGTTTTTATACATATGCATACAAATTTATGATATTAAACTATCATACAAAATAAAAAACATTGTTAAACAATTAAATAGAATTTATAGAAACAAATCACAATAAAAAATTAAATGCAAATAATTAAATTTAATATTTTTAGCAAATGTTTTAATATGCAGTGTCCATATTTGCCAAAGTGCCTTATATAGCATTTCGTCATTAATGCAATATCTTCACTTAAATATTACATTTATAATAAAACTTGGAGGGAGGTTTTTTTAACAGTAGCGAAATACAACAACATTGTTATTATTTTCGTTTTTTGTAATGAATTGAACTTTTTGTCTGACCATGCAGATGACCAATCACTACTGTTCAAAAAATCTCTATTAAAAGAATGATGTCTATAAGGAAAATAGCTCCTTTTGTCATAATATTGACTTCTTAATCAGACTTTGATTATTTAATTGTACTCATTTATACTGTAATAATATAAAAATAAATTAACAATAATTTCAACAGTAACACTTCGATTGTTTTCGATTCATTTTCAAAGAAGTTAGAAGATTTTAACACTTTAATTGTGCCACTAAAACCTACACTTTCCAGAATATACATTATGTGTGATAGACACATTATTCGATAAAGATTTCTTGAGTTAAAAGTTAATAAACGAATTTATTATAAAAATTTCAAGTTAGGGGTATTACGAAAAAAGTATTGTTTTCGAAAAATTTTTTTATAGAAATGATAAATTATAGTCACTAGTGCAATTACCTCGAACGTTGTAAAAACAATCTTTTCAATAGATCCAAAATATCTTTCCCATAGTACTTGTGTTTGTTGTCTTAACGCGAATATACGTTCAGCAGGAATAGAACGGACCATATCAGGAATCTGGAGAAAAAGATTCATTAACAAATATGTTTGATGCTAAATTATATAAAATATATTTAAATAAAATAAAAATTATTTATATTATATGTAATTTTATACCACCAATACTTTAGTTACACATAATGAAGGATATAATTTATGATAAAGCATGTTGATTGAAAAAGTATGGAATCGTGTATAAAACTTTAAGACACATTTCTTTAAATTTGTTTTTCAACGTAGTTTACTAATACTAGTAAATATTTTCAATTCTTACAAGATATTCAAAATAACACTTAAGATTTTCCGAGAGAGATATTACATATATATTGGGAAATTATTGTTAATATTGTGATTCTGATAATAAGCTATGGCATTCTGAAATCTGATTTTCCAAACTTTAAAGGTGTCTTCCTGAACGTCATCTATTCTCTATTAGAATGAAAGTATTGCAGATACTTCGAGGCTAATTCACACTATACTACAATAGTGTCGATCGAAATGTGTATATGGAATATTTTTACTGGATAAGATATAGTATATATACTAACTAATAAATATTTATCACAGTATAATTTGTTGAGGTATTGCGATATTCAATGAAGATATTAATTGTTTACCGGCAGTCTGGTAAAACAAGATATTTCTCTGTTAATGATTAAATAAGAACATAATATTATTATATAAATAAAATAAGCTTAATCTTAGGTTAGATTAGAACTATTGAATCTCCATTTAATCGCTCTTGAAACTATGAGTCAGTAAAATAGTGACTAAAACGCGTTCTTTATAACTAGTATGTATTAAGCGAGTGCATCGCATTTTATTAAAAGATTTTGAAAACGGCTTGGGTCGTTTTCACTGAGGACATAAAAATCTACTCTTTGGCAAAAATTGATTCAACTCGAGAATGGATATGTAGACTTTTCATCTCTTTACAACCAAATGTCACATACTTCAGTGTCTCTCACACATCTCTCACAGCAGCAAAATACAGCATAAACAGCGCAACACCGCAAGTGATGTCATATACTGGTACAGTCTAATAGTAGCAAACTGAAGAACAAATAGACCCATGACTCAATCATAAAATTGAGAAAATTGTTGGTATTTTGTTGTTAAGTAATGTTTTAAGAACATATAGTATACATTCTAATTTTATTATAAGGTCTCACTAAATATTTTTAATAGATTTTAATATAAATAATACACATATATATTAAATACTCTACATGAGTTATGTTAGTTTAGTTATGTAGACATACATAACTAACTAATTTGGGGATCGGTTCGATATTTTGAATAATTGTTTCAACTCAAAAATTAATTTATATACCTGTTGCACCACCAGTTTCAAGAAAAATTTACTGTGCGGTTTGGTTAAAACCGCTATTGCATTAAATAGTCGAAAGTTTGAAATTTGTTCCAAAACCAAATCACTCTATCCACCTATCTTCTTCTGCATTTTAATTCTCTCTTAACTATAGTCAATAAACTCAAAACACACTACCTTTGTGATGTATTATCAGTCCCCTTTACTACTTGTATTATACATTTTTATATATACACATGAAAGAAATGCATTGGGTGTGTTCAATTCATGCCAAACAAATATATTTGATTGGAATTGTTCTGACGGATATATGGGCTTTTGCTATTAGCTTCATAGAGAGCGATGTTATGCTAAATGTACATATAAAAACATAACTCGTGTCAAATATTAGAAAATAATATTCGAAGTAACAACAACTCATTTACATTGAAATTCATATTAATTATTCTATTGCCTTAAGTTATAAATACATATTTAATGATCGAAAGCCTAAACGAATCAATTTTTGTACGTGGTAACTAAAAAAAACTCTATTTTCTTCTTTTTTACCACACTTAACTAATACTACTGATTGTAAAAAAACACATTAATTTAAATAATGTAAAATTT